GTAAATTCACTCCAGTGGGAAGTGCTGGAGTGCGCCAGTTCAAGGTACAACTGAAGTGCCACGATTCTATATTAACTTACTTGCTGTGTTGGATAAAGGTAATTTTTTCTCACTCCTGGATTTGGTGTCACATTTTAAGATTACTGTATAAACATGGAACAGCTGAACAGCTGCAATGCAGGGCAGCTTTGTTTTTTTTACCAAATAGATAGCTGTGAGCAGTTTGTTTTGTGCGCAAATATATATTTTACAAATAACATGATACCAATTTAGGACTAAATCTGTCTTTCAGGACTAAATTGCATTTCTCACAATTTCAGCGACATTTGTGAATTTAGCTGTCGTTAGCTGAGAATGGGCTATGACTTTAGAAGAACAAAATAATTTTAATAGAGCCCTCCAGGTACCAGAACATTGTTTGATGTTTCTCCCTTGTCATTCACAGACTGGAGCCAGCAAAGGCTATGCATTCATGGAGTTTGAGTCTGATGATGTGGCCAAGATTGTTGCAGACACAATGAACAACTACCTGTTCTCTGAGAGACTGCTGAAGTGTAAGTATAAACTGCAGTGTAAGTCCTGTAGCACGCAAAGGAAGCTTGTGGTTATTTCAGTTATCTTTTTCAACTGTGCATAGAACTTTAGGGGTTTTTTAATGAAGTTTTGTCCCAGAAGTATTTTCTGTGGGGCTGAGCTTTTCATCATGTGTAAAGAGCATGCTTAGCAGGCTTTTGGTCACTAGTGCTGGTTTTTCCTGTGGGCTGATGTTGCTCCTAGTGACTGTAACACAAAATCTCAGGACAAAGTTGGGTTTGCTGGAGAGATAATTCCTTTCACATGGACACTCCTTGGCACTTGTAACTGCTGCAGTTGTCTGTGAGGTTGGACAAAAGGAGGTTTTGAGTAAAAGATTGATGAAATCACTGAGTTTCTCAGTCATGGTAGCAGTAACACTTTCTTTGTAAAGGATTAAGAGTTGATGTGTTGTTGTAAAACAATTTTGTGTGATCTTTCTGGATGAAACTGTTAAAACATTTTATCCATCCACCCACCCACGTTGTCATCTTGTCACAAGAGTTCCATGCTATTGGTGGTCATCCTATCACAAAAGTTCCATACCTTCTTGGTGTTTCTCATGGGCATCTCCTCAGAGCACTGCCTCTTTCTTCTTCATAAAGCAGCCAACTGACTCTAGCTCCCCTCTCAGCCAGCCACCCCACTCTTTTCTAGCATCTTCGTCTCATTGCTTACAGCTGTGGCCTGGTAAAGTCAGGCCTGCTCCTAATCTTTGATAATTGGCCCAGCTGCAACTCCTTAGGGCTAAGATTACTTTCTACACTATCTTTATTTTCTTGTATTCTATCCCCCTGCACACCTACCCCCCATTTCCCTGGCTGGCTGAGGGTGCAGTGTTGGTTTCTTTGTTCCTGACTCGCTGGGCAGCGCGGTGTTGTGGCTGTGAGCTGTGCTGTGTGAGTGCCCTTGGCGGGAAGGGGAGCCCTGCTGTGACCCCGGTGCTGTGCTTGCTGCAGGTCAGTTCGTGCCTCCCGAGAAGGTGCACGAGAGCCTGTTCCAAGGCTGTGACAGGATGTTTCGGCAGCCCTCGCAGCCGGCCGTGCGGCGCTACAACCGCGTGCGCTCCCTGCTGGAGAAGGCCAGGATGACGCAGCGCCTGCTGAGGAAGGAGAGGCTCTTACGGAAGAAGCTGGCTGAGAAGGGGCTGGACTATGACTTCCCAGGATTTGTAAGTTTGGCATCGCTTCAGTGAGTGTTTTAAGCAAGATGTGTTTCTAGAGTTGTGCTGAATGCATGGAAATCATGTGTTTTGTGTGGAACTGGCAAAAGAGCTGGAGCCCCAGGGAGGCTCACTTGTGTTAGGAACTGTATGGAAGCACCAGGAATTCGGTGTGGTGCTGTTGCTGGGCTGCACTCCATGTGCCTGCATGTTTACTTGTAGAGAAATAGTAGGTAACAGCAAAGGGCAGATGTCCCTTTTGTTCTGTTGGTATAAGCAGTTGGATATTCTGTGGTTTAATACTGGAGTGCAAATCACCAAAGAGCAGAGGGGCTTTGGCAGAGTGGGGGTTTGGAGGTAGGTCCCAAGACCAGAACTTCTGTCCACAGCCCGTGCATGTTCCTTCTCTGCAGTGCTTGGGTCAGGTACTTGAGTTGTGAGCAGTTAATGCTGTTTAACATGGAGTATTTTATAAATGCAGAATAGCATTGTTTTGCTTTTGTTACATGTGTTGCTTGTTTAGCATGTGTTGCTTTTGGTGTTTCTGTTCAAACCAGATCACCTATGTATCAGTCAGTTTGTTTCTTTAAACCTATTTGCTGTAACAAAGACTTTGTAGTTATGAAACAAATCTATGAAGTGTTAAGTGACTGCGTCTTCATACAAGTGTGTAGTGATCCACCTGATCTGTCTTTCTTCCTAGGCTGCACAGGCACTTTCCAAAAAGAGGAAAAAAGTTAAAACATCCAAGAAACGAAATCTGAACATTTCTTTGAGCAGCCAGGTAAGACAGACCAGTCCTGGTGGTGTCCAGTACCACCATTCACATGGGGGCAGATGTTTGAAGTCTTCAGCTGGCACCTTAATGCTGATTTCAACACACAAAAGCCTTAACATTGTTTGCCTGAGAGATGTTTGTGCTGAAAGTAGCTCCTTTGAGATGTATTTACACCCTTGAACTGAGGATAGTGATAGAATCCTCGTGGTTCCTTCTCCTGTGAGATTGTTTAGTAGCAAAGGTTTCTGCTCAGCACGCTGTAACCAGCAGTGCCTGTCCCTCAGTGCTGTCTGCCTCTGCTGTCCAGCACTCCCTTGGTACTGCAGGGTGCTGGGGCACCTGTACCCCCCTGCACCTGGGCTTTACCCTGGGATGATGTGATCTCCTTGATGGAGTCCTTCTGTTGGACCATGTTTCAGTGCCATCCTGTTTTGGTAGAAAGGGATTTGAATTGTTGATACAGTCCAGTGCTGTCTGTCCCCATTTCCATCTCTATTGTCCCTCCTACCCCGTGCTCTCCAGGCACAGTAGTTAGTGGTTTGGAAACAAATGCCAGGTAAAAGTAGCAGTAGGATGAAAGGGAAGTTCAGGTCATCAGGACTGAGATTTGGGATACTGGCAGTCTAAAAAGTCTAAGACATGAATATTTCTCTTCTGTTTCATCATTGTTGTGAGTTGTGGTGTTGAGTGTTTGGGGATTTTTATTATTACTGGGTTTACTTGTGATAATTGGGGGATTTATTTGGGGTTTACTTGTGATAATTGGGGTATGGCTGGTTGTGAGGCAGACAGGATAACTTATACATTCTGTCAACTGAGTTCTGAGGGCTTACTGAGGAAACAAAGCTGGGATGTTTCAGCTCTGTTGTAAAATGGAATGTGGCATTTCTGTATGCCAGTCTCAAATATACTCCCTCACCCCCCACCTCGTTGTCCTTATTATGTTCCACTTGACTTTCATGGTGCTTTGAGTCAGGAAATACAAAGTTTAGAAGGGAAATGTGCATAACAACACGTTAAAAAATGTGAATTAATTTCCATTTGCCTTTCACATACAGTTCTTTGAAGGTGATGCTTCTGTCCAAAGAAACAATGTCTACAAAAGTAGCTAGTTATAAAATGTAAACAGTTTTCTCAAGGAGAGCTGGACTGAGGTGTCTTGTGGTACCACAGGGGCAGGGACAGCTTTTTCTGGCAGATGGCTTTGCTGTGAATCCTGTTTTTGTGATCTCTTCAGGATCCTACTCCAGTGTGTACTCCAGCAGTGCTCGAGCGCCGGAAAGCTGCTCGGATGGATGATGACACAGAGGATGATGAAGTAACACTCAGGCTTCCCTCTGCCAGCGGTAAGAATGCTGTGCAGAGACCAAAGAAGCAGCCAAGGCAAAGGCCAAGCCTGAAGAAACAGAAACAGACTTAAAATTGTTATGCATGTAGCCATATTTTTCTCAACTATAAAAACTTCTGAGGTGGAGCTTCTACTGGGTCTGCTGCCCTGGCTTGGTCCATCCTGCCTAGACTGTTTCAGGCTTTCCTAGGCAAGGACTCTGTTCACAAATCCTGTCCCTGTGGTTTAGCCATCAAGGGACATAGGAAGATATCCTTGACTTTGTGCTCACAAGTGCCCGTGCTGTGACACAGCTACAATAGTCCACAATCTCCAGTTAATTTTATAACTCGTGTCTAGAACTCACTGTTTGGAAAGAAAATGTGAGGCTGTCCATTCAGAGTTGGCTAATGCAAGCAACTTTGTCTTAAATTTATAATTAATGACAGGTTATTAAAGAAATTACCATTTTTCAACTTTCTTTGCTCTTGGTAATGGTTCTTCTGTTTAACTGAATGTGTTTTGTGAAAGTTCTCACATATTTGCACTGATGGAGGCTCTTGACACACCAATAATCAGAACAATGAGTTCTACTGGCAGTTCTGTTGTCCTTTGTCACTGCATTTTAGTTTCACTGCTTGCATGAAACTGAGTGTCTTCTGCTCCAGGGGGTGATAAGCACATTGAAATATTGTAATAACCAGGAGTGCAAAGGCAGGTTTTTGTCAGCAGTAGTATGAGTTCAGAGAATTGAGTGTAGCTTTTTGTAATGCATTAAGATTCCTTGTTCCAACTAGCTTGTCATTGCAGATGGCAGGTATCCAGTCCTGCTTGAACAGGCAGTTTGTGCTGTTAGAATTTGGATTTTAATGCAAGTCTGAGATCTGTAGAAGTCCCAGATTGGGTTCTGTGCTCATACTTAGCCTTCATCTTTTGTTGTCTTAAACACTTTAATGTTGTTGGCTGCTGGTCGGGCTTGGCAGATGATTTTAGAGGAAAGCCCAGGTGATAATAACCAGCTAGGTAGGTGGCTGGCACTAATTTCTTGGCTACTTTAGTTGAAGTCCTGGCAGAGAAAAATTAATCTAAACCCTGCTGATTGGCCTTGCTGATTCTGATCTGTCTGGCCTGATCACTGGATTAATTGTGGGATCATAATGACATTGTCTAGGTGACTCAGATTAGATCATTCTCCTTTCTTGAGGACGCCACTTGGATGAATCCATCTTCATATCAATTGCTTGTCACCGTGGGCAGGCCAGGGGAATTCCTTCACCAGCCCAGTGTTCACAGATAGTCCTTGCCTTTCAATGGAAGTGTTGCTGTGAACATCTGCAGGCTTCCTTCCCTGTGCCTTGTTTGATGGGAAACAGGCAATGCTTGCACCCCAAACCCCTGGGAAATACACACTCAGTTGAGGTTTGAGATACATGACCACCACGGTGGTTGGCAGAAATTGCTTATCTGTATTTGATGTGCAGCTCTGAAAAACTTCTACCTTGACATCATACAGCAGAGAGCAGCAGAAAAGAAGCAAAATGCACCTGCCCAGAATAGACAGTTTTCTTTTGAAATCCGTGTTCCTGACTTTGTGTCGGGCACATAAAGCTGGCTGTTGAGTCAGGATGAGGTAGAAATGTGGCTCGTTCATCCTGCTGGGAGCCGAATCTGCTGCCACCGGGGGGCAGCACGGCGCAGCTGTGTGGCCGTGCCGCAGCACAGGGCTTGCTGGGGAACCGTGCGTTTGTAATAAAGCCTCTCCCCTCTCCGGGCAGTGAGTGCCTGCACTGCTGGGAGTCACGCCTCTAACACGGCTTGAGAGTACATGAGAAACCTGACACTGATCTGAACCAAAAATGCCCATTTCTGTGGTGCTGCCTCAAGTGCTCCTTCCTAGGCTGCTGAGTTAAAGCTGCTCTTTAGAAAACTTAAATTTCCAGAGTAACTTCTCTGGTGCAGTTCCACATTCCCCAAAGCCTGAGCATCTCCATTCCTGTGCTTCCCATTCCAGTGCCTTGGCCTGCATTTTGAACATGGAGTTGCTTTCTTCCCACTCTGTTTCTGTTGCTGTGCTCATCTCTGTGCCCAGTGTTCTGCCCCTGCCTGTGTCCACTTGCTGCTTTCTTCCATGTTTGACTCAGTGGCTTCTCATGCTGCTTGCAGTGCCAGGGCTGTCCTGTCTGGCTGCAGGAGCTCCTGCATGTCCCCTGCATGAGGGACTTTGGCTTCTGGAGGTCTCTTGGAAAGGTTTGTGCCTTTAAGCTAAACCCTTGGCTGCTGCTGGCTCTCCAGAGTCACATATCAGTGTGAGCCTCGATGGGAAGACGTTCAAGAAAACTGCTCACAATGAGGGTTGCTTCCTGCTGTAATTTTCCTTTCCCTTCCTTTTGTTTGTTCATCTTCCTTCAATTGAGATCAGCTTAGATGGCAACTCTGAACAGCAAGGAAGCAAAATTCTGTGTTGTTTGAGGAAAGCACAACAATACCCAGGCTAGAGCAAGGGGCTCTCAGCAGAAAGGCAGCTTTTCTTGGTGATAGCTTCTGTTTTTAGGCTGCCTGTGTTATTAATACCCTGCTGTCCAGGGAGATGTACGTAAGCAGAAATTCAGACACCTGATACTTGCCAAACATAGTTTCCGTAGCAAGTGGACAGATGTGCTGTGTCATGAGTTATGCCCCAGTCCCTGCACTGATTTTTATTTCTCATTTTTCCAGTAATTTGTTTGTTCATCTTGGACAAACACAAACCTCCTGGCCACTGATTTTAGGGCAGGCTCCAAGTTGTTTTTACTGGGATGCTGGGAGTGTTGGGGCTGTGGTTTCAAGGCATGACTTGCAAGTGCTCTGCCTTTCAGGGATGAGTGACTTTGTGGAGCTGTTTTGCTGAACACTCATGTATGTATTACTCTTTGCAAGCTTGAGAAACTTAGGTGCTAGCCAAGCCTGCTAATTTACACTCATTTATTACAATTTCTCTGTTTTGGGGGAGGGAGCAGGGTTTAAGAGTGTTCACCATTTCCTGGCACTGGAAGTAAAAGGAGAATGGAAGTAAAAGAAGAATGGGGAGTAGGGAAGGTGAAAAAGCAGAATTGGCTGCAAGACAGAGGGGAGAAAGGAATGATGAAGACAATGCTCACCTCTCAAGACAAAGATACTGGTGAATGTTGCAGGGTGCGAGTGCTCAAAATTAAAGATGCAGTTTTATGTTTTCCTACTACTAATTTTGCCTGTTGGATGTGCTGTGGGGTGCCCAGGCTGCATAAGGAGTCTGCTGCCATCACAGTCCAAGTGCTGGTACTTGCTCATGAGCCAGGTGAAGGAGGAGAGCAGGCTGGGCAAGTGGCACCAAGCCTGTTTGCTTGCATACCTGGCTTTGGAAATGGCTGCAGCCCTGGGGAGCAAAGTTAAAACCTGTCTGCAAATGGCTCATGGTGCAAGGGAGGACTTAGGCATGGCTCTGAGGGGTGACATGCTCTCCTCTCCAACCAAGTAGTGAGGCAGGAGAGAGCTCCAGCAAATTCCTGTGCTGAGTGCTGGGGAGCTTGGCTCTCACTTTGCAGTGTGATGCAGCCACTGGGGTGGGCTGTGCTGTGTGAGGTGCTGTGCACATCCCTGCCCTGGGCAGGGTGCTGCAGGTGAAAGCAGGAGTACAGGGAGTGTGATCTCCATTGCATGTTTTCCAGGAATATCCACAAATCCTCTTGCACCAGACTCCTTCATTGTCCAAGATGCTCTTCAAACACATCCTTTTCTCCTGACTTTTCCATCTAACTCTCAGATTCTTGAAATGTCTAACTCTAGGCAGCAATAATCTGCACTTCTTAGCCAGAGAGACGCTGAGGGCCAGCCCAGGGTGCTGCTGGAATGGTGGGAAGGCCATTCTGTGTGTCAGGCTGCTGCTGGCACTGCTAATGCAGCACATCCCTCCCTGCCCAAGGGCAGCAGCTGTCAGAGCAAGCTGAGGAAATGGTTAATGTGTGAGGGAGAATTCCTGAAGTGAAACGTTTTCTTCCATGCAGGGTGCAGAAAGGCCTCTCATCACTTCTGACACCCTGCATTAATTAAACATATGGCAGGAACAGAGATCTTGGCTGAACTGGGAGGCTTGGAGTAGTTACACACCTGTGTGTCTGTGGCCAGTAACCATGGGGTTCTCCTGTGCTGGGAAAGGAAAAGCTGCAGAGAAGCTCCTACACAAGTCTTGGCTCTGATCAGGGAAGAAAGTGCTGGTTTATGATAGTCCTCATAAGCAGTGTTGTTGAAGAGAGGCAGAACTGTGAGGGCTAACTCTGCAGGACTTTGAGACAGCGAGTTGGGGCCTGCAGGGAGCCACAGGCACTGGGCTCACTTCCTTTCCCTGTCTGTCCATTTGATCCTTCACATGGAGAATGGGGCTTGCTCTGGATTTGAAACTTGTTGTTTTAAAGAACAGGAAGGGAAGAAACAAATCTCATTTTTGTGATAGTGATTTTGGAAAACCCTGTTCTTTTCTGTGTGTTTTTCCAGTACTGGTTGAGAGGAGCCTTGGTGAGCAGGTGCAGATGTGGAAATTGGGCTGCTTGCTCTGCAGTGAGGCATTGCTGCCAGTTTCCCACAAAGGCTTGCACAAACTTCCAGTTTGCTTGTGTATTGTTTTTTTTTAAACAAGCAGGGAAGTAGGGTTACTTCTGTCAGGGTGGCTGAGAGCATTGCAGCATTTGGAGAGTGAAGGCAGGATTTGCCTCTCTGCTGTGTTTGCTCAGTTACTGTTTCTCACACAAGGAGCCATGCAGTGAGGAGTGAGCAGGGTCTGTGCCAGCTGTGCAGCAGCAGCAGCAAAGCTGCTTTGTCTAACCTGCAGTTATTTTTATTTCTGTTGATGTGAGAGCTGGAAGGGCTCTGGTGTGATTTTCAGGTGCTGGGCTGCGTTTGCAGGTCTGCCTGGTAGAAGGGGGTTGGGTTCATCTGCCCAGAGGTGATGGCAGAGGGAATGTAAGACAAATCCATAAAGTTTTCCTTTAGCTATCCCACACAAAGACATGCTGTTTGTGGTTTATTAACAGGGCAGTGCTAAAAGTGTGTTCTGTTGAACTGTATCCTTAAAAACAAATTCCAGGTTGGAGCTGCTGGAGCTTTGTGGCTGGTCTGGCAGGAGCTATGCAAGTGCAAAGGACTAGCTCCAGAGGCAGGATGGATTCTCCTAAGGCAAATGTGTCTGTTGGTGTTATGTCAGTGCAGCTCCATCAGATGAGTCACAGCCTAAGTTTTTATCCTGAGAACTACTACCTCATCTTTTTTCCCCCATCAGCTCATAATTTTACAAGATTAAAGCCTGTTAATATACAGTACAGAATCAACCAGTTGGTTGTTAAGACTCATTTGGAGTTAGTGATTTGGACACTTGGGATTGGGTGGGCTGCCAGTGTATGTTTGCTGTGTTGCCATTCAATGTCAGCCCTCCCATTGCATTCTGTTAGAGCTTCCATTAATTTCAGTAGAAAT